AGCCAGAGAGGCTCCAGCCTGCAGCAGCCAGGGAGGCTCCCGCCTGCAGCAGCCAGGGAGGCTCCTGTCTGCAGCAGCCAGGGAGGCTCCTGTCTGCAGCAGCCAGGGAGGCTCCCACCTGCAGCAGCCAGGGAGGCTCCTGTCTGCAGCAGCCAGGGAGGCTCCTGTCTGCAGCAGCCAGGGAGGCTCCTGTCTGCAGCAGCCAGGGAGGCTCCTGTCTGCAGCAGCCAGGGAGGCTCCTGTCTGCAGCAGCCAGGGAGGCTCCCGCCTGCAGCAGCCAGGGAGGCTCCTGTCTGCAGCAGCCAGGGAGGCTCCCGCCTGCAGCAGCCAGGGAGGCTCCCGCCTGCAGCAGCCAGGGAGGCTCCCACCTGCAGCAGCCAGGGAGGCTCCCGCCTGCAGCAGCCAGAGAGGCTCCACCTGCAGCAGCCAGGGAGGCTCCTGTCTGCAGCAGCCAGGGAGGCTCCCACCTGCAGCAGCCAGGGAGGCTCCCACCTGCAGCAGCCAGGGAGGCTCCCGTCTACAGCAGCCAGGGAGGCTCCTGTCTGCAGCAGCCAGGGAGGCTCCTGTCTGCAGCAGCCAGGGAGGCTCCTGTCTGCAGCAGCCAAGGAGGCTCCTGTCTGCAGCAGCCAGGGAGGCTCCTGTCTGCAGCAGCCAGGGAGGCTGCTTTCTGCAGCAGCCAGGGAGGCTCCCACCTGCAGCAGCCAGGGAGGCTCCCGCCAGCAGCAGCCAGGGAGGCTCCCGCCAGCAGCAGCCATGGAGGCTCCTGTCTGCAGCAGCCAGAGAGGCTCCAGCCTGCAGCAGCCAGGGAGGCTCCCGCCTGCAGCAGCCAGGGAAGCTCCCACCTGCAGCAGCCAGGTAGGCTCCTGTCTGCAGCAGCCAGGGAAGCTCCCACCTGCAACAGCCAGGGAGGCTCCTGTCTGCAGCAGCCAGAGAGGTTCCAGCCTGCAGCAGCCAGGGAGGCTCCCGCCCGCAGCAGCCAGGGAGGCTCCCACCTGCAGCAGCCAGGGAGGCTCCCGCCTGCAGCAGCCAGGGAGGCTCCCACCTGCAGCAGCCAGAGAGGCTCCAGCCTGCAGCAGCCAGGGAGGCTCCCTCTTGCAGCAGCCAAAGAGGCTCCAGCCTGCAGCAGCCAGGGAGGCCCCCGCCTGCAGCAGCCAGGGAGGCTCCTGCCTGCAGCAGCCAGGGAAGCCCCCGCCTGCAGCAGCCAGGGAGGCTCCCGCCTGCAGCAGCCAGAGAGGCTCCAGCCTGCAGCAGCCAGGGAGGCTCCCTCTTGCAGCAGCCAGGGAGGCCCCCGCCTGCAGCAGCCAGGGAGGCTCCCACCTGCAGCAGCCAGGGAAGCCCCCGCCTGCAGCAGCCAGGGAGGCTCCCGCCTGCAGCAGCCAGGGAAGCCCCCGCCTGCAGCAGCCAGGGAGGCTCCCGCCTGCAGCAGCCAGGGAAGCCCCCGCCTGCAGCAGCCAGGGAGGCTCTCTCCTGCAGCAGCCAGGGGGCGGAGCTTGCCTCACAGCTTCGGAACGATGAATTTCATGATAATTGGTGTCTGGCTTAAGCAGAGTGGAGAGAATAGGGAATGAGGATCACAAGGCGTGAAGCTCCAATGGCAACTGAGAGTGTTTACGGGGGAGTTGTGGAGGCGTTCTAACGAGCCTCGGCCCCAAGGAGCCCCTCAGGGACCTTACTGATCTGGTATGGTGAAGCCCATGGTGCAGCCCCTCAGGGACCTTACTGATCTGGTATGGTGCACCCCTCTGGGACCTTACTGATCTGGTATGGTGCAGCTCATGGTGGAGGCCCTCAGGGACCTTACTGATCTGGTATGGTGCAGCCCCTCAGAGACTTTACTGATCTGGTATGGTGCAGCCCATGGTGCAGCCCCTCAGGTACCTTACTGATCTGGTATGGTGCGGCCCATGGTGCAGCCCCTCAGGTACCTTACTGATCTGGTATGGTGCAGCCCATGGTGCAGCCCCTCAGGGACCTTACTGATCTGGTATGGTGCGGCCCCTCAGGGACCTTACTGATCTGGTATGGTGCAGCCCCTCAGGGACCTTACTGATCTGGTATGGTGCGGCCCCTCAGGGACCTTACTGAACAGGTATGGTGCAGCCCATAGTGCAGCCCCTCAGGGACCTTACTGATCTGGTATGGTGCAGCCCCTCAGAGACCTTACTGATCTGGTATGGTGCAGCCCCTCAGAGACCTTACTGATCTGGTATGGTGCAGCCTCTCAGGGACCTGATGGTTCAGCCCCTCAGGGACCTTACTGATCAGGTATAGTTCATCCCCTCAGGGACCTTACTGATCTGGTATGATGCAGACCCTCAAGGACCTTACTAATCAGGTATGTTGAAGCCTCTTAGGGACCTTATTGGTATGGTATAGTGCAGCCCCTCAGGGACCTTACTGATCTGATGGTGCAGCCCCACAGGGACCTTACTGATCTGATTATGCAGCCCCTCAGAGACCTTACTGATCTGATAGCGCATCCCCTCAGGGACCTTACTGATCTGATGGTGCAGCCGCTCAGGGACCTTACTGATCAGGTATGGTGTAGCCCCCTCAGGGTCCTTACTGATCAGGCATGGTGCAGCCCCTCAGGGACCTTACTGATCTGGTATAGCGCGGCCTCTCAGGGTCCTTACTGATCTGGTATGGTGCAGCCCCTCAGGGACCTTACTGATCAGGACTGGTGCAGCCCCTCAGGGACCTTACTGATCAGGTATAGTGCAGCCCCTCAGGGACCTTACCGATCTGGTATGGTGCAGCTCCTCAGTGACCTTACTGATCAGGTATGGTGCAGCCCCTCAGTGACCTTACTGATCAGGAATAGTGCTGCCGCTCAGGGACCTTACTGATCAGGTATGGTGCAGCCCCTCAGGGACCTTACTGATCAGGAATGGTGCTGCCTCTCAGGGTCCTTTCTGATCAGGTATGGTGCAGCCCCTCAGGGACCTTACTGATCAGGAATGGCGCTGCCCCTCAGGGACCTTACTGATCTGGTATGGTGCAGCCCCTCAGGGACCTTACTGACCTGGTATAGTACAGTCCCTCAGGGAACTTACTGATTTGATGGTGCAGCCCGACAGGGACCTTACTGACCTGGTATGGTGCAGCCCCTCAGGGTCCTTATTGATCTGGTATAGTGAAGCCCCTCAAGGACCTTACTGATCTGGTATGGTGCAGCCCCTCAGAGACCTTACTGATCTGGTATGGTGCACCCTTCTGGGACCTTACTGATCTGGTATGGTGCAGCCCATGGTGCAGCCCCTCAGAAACCTTACTGATCTGGTATGGTGCGGCCCCTCAGGGACCTTATTGATCAGGTATGGTGCAGCCCATAGTGCAGCCCCTCAGAGACCTTACTGATCTGGTATGGTGCAGCCCATGGTGCAGCCCCACAGGGACCTTACTGATCTGGTATGATGCGGCCCATGGTGCAGCCCCTCAGGGACCTTACTGATCTGGTATGGTGCGGCCCATGGTGCAGCCCCTCAGGGACCTTACTGATCTGGTATGGTGCGGACCCTCAGGGACCTTACTGATCAGGTATGGTTCAGCCCATAGTGCAGCCCCTCAGGGACCTTACTGATCTGGTATGGTGCAGCCCCTCAGAGACCTTACTGATCTGGTATGGTGCAGCCTCTCAGGGACCTGATGGTTTAGCCCCTCAGGGACCTTACTGATCAGGTATGGTGCATCCCCTCAGGGACCTTACAGATCTGGTATGATGAAGACCATCAAGGACCTTACTAATCAGGTATGTTGAAGCCTCTTAGGGACCTTATAGTGATCTGATGGTATATATGGTATAGTGCAGCCCCTCAGGGACCTTACTGATCTGATGGTGCAGCCCCACAGGGTCCTTACTGATCTGATTATGCAGCCCCTCAGACACCTTACTGATCTGATGGCGCAGCCCCTCAGGGACCTTACTGATCTGATGGTGCAGCCGCTCAGGGACCTTACTGATCAGGTATGGTGTAGCCCCTCAGGGTCCTTACTGATCAGGCATGGTTCAGCCCCTCAGGGACCTTACTGATCTGGTATGGCGCGGCCCCTCAGGGTCCTTAGTGTTCTGGTATGGTGCAGCCCCTCAGGGACCTTACTGATCAGGTATAGTGCAGCCCCTCAGGGACCTTACTGATCAGGTATAGTGCAGCCCCTCAGGGACCTTACTGATCTGGTATGGTGCAGCTCCTCAGGGACCTTACTGATCAGGTATGGTGCAGCCCCTCAGTGACCTTACTGATCAGGTATAGTGCTGCCGCTCAGGGACCTTACTGATCAGGTATGGTGCAGCCCCTCAGGGACCTTACTGATCAGGAATGGTGCTGCTTCTCAGGGTCCTTACTGATCAGGTATGGTGCAGCCCCTCAGGGACCTTACTGATCAGGTATAATGCAGCCCCTCAGGGACCTTACTTATCTGGTATTGTGATGCCCCTAAGGGACCTTACTGACCTGGTATAGTGCAGCCCCTCAGGGAACTTACTAATTTGATGGTGCAGCCCGACAGGGACCTTACTGACCTGGTATGGTGCAGCCCCTTAGGGTCCTTATTGATCTGGTATAGTGAAGCCCCTCAGGGACCTTACTGAGCTGGTATGGTGCTGCCCCTCAGGGACCTTACTGATCAGGTATGGTACAGCCCCTAAGGATCCTTACTAATCAGGTATGGTGCAGTCCCTCAGGGACCTTACTGATCAGGTATGATGCTGCCCCTCAGGGACCTTACTAATTTGGTGCAGCCCCTCAGGGACCTTACTGATCTGGTGCTGCCCCTCAGGGACCTTACTGATTTGGTGCAGCCCCTCAGGGACCTTACTGATAAGGTATGGTGCATCCCCTCATGGACCTTCCTGATCTGGTGCAGCCCCGCAGGGACCTTACTGATCTGGTGCAGGCCCTCAAGGACCTTACTGATATGGTGCTGCCCCTCATGGACCTTCCTGATCTAGTGCAGCCCCTTAGGGACCTTACTGATCTGGTGCAGCCCGTCAGGGACCTTACTGATCAGGTATGGTGCAGCCCTTTCAGGGACCTTACATATCTGGTATGGTGTAGCCCCTCAGGGACCTTACTGATCTGGTATGGTGCAGCCCCTCAGGGACCTGATGGTTCAGCACCTCAGGGACCTTACTGATCACGTATGGTGCAGCCCCTCAGGGACCTTACTGATCTGGTATGATGCAGCCCTTCAAGGACCTTACTAATCAGGTATGGTGAAGCCTCATAGGGACCCTATTGATCTGGTATGGTGCAGCCGCTCAGGGACCTTACTGATCTGATGGTGCAGCCCCACAGGGACCTTACTGATCTGATGGTGCAGCCCTTCAGGGACCTTACTTATCAGGTATGGTGTAGCCCCTCAGGGACCTTACTGATCTGATGGTGCAGCCCTTCAGGGACCTTACTGATCAGGTATGGTGCAGCCCATAAGGGACCTTACTGATTTGGGGACGCCCCTCAGGAAACTTACTGATCTCGTATGGTGCAGCCCCTCAGGGACCTTACTGATCAGGAATAGTGCAGACCCTCAAGGACCATCCTGATCTGGTGCAGCCCCTTAGGGACCTTACTGATCTGGTGCAGCCCCTCATGGACCTTACTAATCTGGTGCAGCCCCTCAGGAACCCCTCCTGATCTGGTATGGTGCGGCCTCTTAGGAACCTTACTGATCTGGTGCAGCCCCTCAGGGACCTTACTGATCTGGTATGGTGCAGCCCCCTCAGGGACCTTGCTGATCAGGTACGGTGCAGCCCCTCAGGGACCTTACATATCTGGTATGGTGCAGCCCTTCAGGGACCTTACAGATCTGGTATTGTGCAGCCCCTCAGGGACCTTTCTGATATGGTGCAGCCCCTCAGAGGCCTTACTGACCTGGTATGGTGCAGCCACTCAGGGACCTTACTGATCTGGAAATGGTGCAGCCCCTCAGGGTCCATACTGATCAGGTATGGTGCAGCCCCTCAGGAACCTTACTGATCTAGTATTGTGCAGCCCCTCTGGGACCTTACTGATTTGGTATGGTGCAGCCTGTCAGGGACCTTACCGATCTGGTATGGTGCATCCCCTCAGGGACCTTACTGATATGGTATGGTGCAGCCCCTCAGGGACCTTACTGATCTTCTATGGTGCAGCCCCTCAGGGACCTTACTGATCTGATGTTGCAGCCCCACAGGGACCTTACTGCTCTGATTATGCAGCCCCTCAGACACCTTACTGATCTGATGGCGCAGCCCCTCAGGGACCTTACTGATCTGATGGTGCAGCCGCTCAGGGACCTTACTGATCAGGTATGGTGTAGCCCCTCAGGGTCCTTACTGATCAGGCATGGTTCAGCCCCTCAGGGACCTTACTGATCTGGTATGGCGCGGCCCCTCAGGGTCCTTAGTGTTCTGGTATGGTGCAGCCCCTCAGGGACCTTACTGATCAGGTATAGTGCAGCCCCTCAGGGACCTTACTGATCAGGTATAGTGCAGCCCCTCAGGGACCTTACTGATCTGGTATGGTGCAGCCCTT